GTACATCTTTGCATTAGAATAAAGTGAAAAAGTTTGGTGGTGTTGTTATTTGTAGGTTATTATGCTATGGGTTTACTGGTCTAGCCCACTCAAGATCAAATTAGACTGTATGTGGCCCATGAACTATAATGAGTTTGACACCACTGTTTCAGGTTATATGTTCAACATGTACTGTTTACATATATGTTTCTATAGTAATGCATCAATAGTAATGATCATAGTATTGGTATCATTTATGTAAAGTTGACAGTGCTGATACTGCAACTTTTTGTTATTTAAACTTTGGTAATTTTACTTTCAAATTGACACTTTTACTTTGTAGACCAAGTCACTGATGTTCCAGTTCCATGCGTCGAGCTTACACTGCTGTCACTGACAAGTCCTCTGAGTGCATGAAGGCTTTGAATGATCACAGTGCCAGTGGTTCACTCCTAAACATAGTACCACCTGCATTAAAGCTCAGCTTTGATATTAAAATAAACTTGTGACCATCTTGCAATGGGATCACTCCAGCTGCAATACAGCAATCAGCAACTTAAAATAAATGTGGGCCAGGTGTGTGTGTGTGTGTGTGTTTGTGTGTGTGTGTGTGTGTGTGTGTGTCAGACAACATATCAACACCTCTCAAAATAGTGAAAACAGCTTCTGTAGTAGCTACTGCTACCATAGGCACTAGGACCAAATTTTGCCATAATGACACACACAGACTCACAAAGAAAAGAAACAATACCAGCCATTGTGACGTTATCGCAGCTGGTTACCAAGATTGCATGCAAGCATTTCAAACTGTCCCAGTCTGTGGAATTGAAAATAAGATTATAGAGGCTATAAAGATAGTGGTGGGATGGTGCAAAAAAGAGACCTTTAGACTTGGACAGATTTCATTCAGTAGGCCAATTATGGCAAAATTTTCTTAGATAAAGCTAGGTCCCAAATTCATTATAGACCTTTACATATTTAGTTTTCTCATTTAATCAATTAATTGTTTGGTCCGTGGATAATGGAAAATGTCCATAGAGTTGAAGTCAATATCTTAAATGCCTGTCTTTGTCTCATCAACAGTCCAAACCCCAAATATACTCAGTGTACATTTATAGAAGAATAAGCAAGCCAGGAAATTTTAACATTTGAGAAGCTGAAAAGAGTCAATGTTGCCATTTTTTCCTTTAAAGATTCAAAACAATTAATTGATTTGCGAAATAGTAAGTGTTCATTTTCTACTGATCAGCTAATCGATTAATCAACCAACTGTTTCAGCTCTACATCTGAATATTAAGGAATATGCATTGTGTAAGCATAATAATATCAACTTTTAAAGATATTAAAACTATATGTGGGGCTCCTTACCAACAGGTTACAAATAAGATCTTTTTAATCTGTTAAAAATGGAAACACCTATTAGTGAGAGGTGAAGGTAAAGTTTCAGCTACTATAGAATTATTTCAGTCATCAAGTGGGCCCACATCCCATCCAAGAGGATCACCACAAGAACATCTGTCTTTTCAAGCCTGACTGTTCTTGATACTTACAGCTACAGTTGATTTAAGCTAATGATTGGCCCATGCAAGAAATAAAGTGAAGTAAATGATTTATCTCAGTGGAAATCATACAATGCTCTGTCGCACAAAGGTGAAACAATGAGCTTGAAACAACAAATTTAGCCACATTTATTCCACCAATAAAACTAGAATAGATAAGGACCATAAGTGTTACGAAAGAATGTTAATGGCTTAAAATGTTCTATGTAAGAACACTGATAGATATTTTTGCCTTTCAACAACCTTGAGAGAATGTGGCGAGGGGGGTGAATATTTTGCACTTGTGTTTTTCATATGCAGAGGAAATGCCTACAGAAACTTAATATGTCTTGTGGCTGCATAGCATGCTGGTCTAATGAGGCTACTATAGACAGACCAACTGATACTGCCTTACCTCCAACAGATTTCCCTTTAAAGGTTTATACAAGAACAACATTATATGTGACTATCCAGGAAATGTGATTATAGTTACATTAGCATTATGACATAAGCGCAACAGTTGATAATATGATGGAGTAAAATCTCTGGTCACTCACAGATGCCAGCTGTTTCTGATCCGTCTCTCTGGCCTGAACACCAAACTTTTAGAGTACTAGTCCAAACTTCCAGGACTTGTATCCCAGTTTGAAAGCCTCACTGTTGAGCCTGGCTGTTACTTATGCAACTAAGCATTTTCCTTTAATACAGGAAGTCTCATCTAAAGCTTCTTCCCACTGAAGAATAAATTCAGAAAGTAAACAAAGCCTGCTGAGTCTTGGATCATAACACCAGGTTAGATCTTAGGCAAGAGCTGTCTCTGTGAGTTGTTGGCCTGCATCCCTCTTCAAATCCATCTTTAAATCCCTCTCCATTTGTGCCAATCCAGTGATGCTTTTTTTCAGTCAGTCTTGGGAAGGGATATCTTTGCATCTTCACAGGATGTATCTGCTTATCTTAGAAGGGAGTGTACAACAGTTCTTCAGTTAATTACTGGCTGAAGTTTAGGTGGAAGCAGCATCAATAATGATATAATTAAAAAGGATGATGCATCAGTACAGTTAACTAAGTTTTTATATATTTTACATCTCTCATTTTTACACAGGATGAAGCCCACTGCCCTTGATGATACCCTGAACCATCCTCTATGTCACCACCAGGTCAAAGTCTTCACTTGTCCTGAGAAATACTATCTAAATTCAAATATGACATCAAAACCTATTAGATGGATTGACATAAAATGTTGTATCTACGTTTGTGGTTCCCAGAAGATGAATCCTAATAACCATGAGGTTGACAGTTGTGATTTTGAGTCAAGTTTTCAGTCAATACTGGATTGATTGCCATGACATTTAATACTCACATTCATGTTCCCCTCAGGATGAATTTGTAATCACTATGGTGATCCCTTATTATTTTATCTTGCACCATCATCACACCCATGATTTAAACTATTGTGTAGGGTAAACAGTGCCTTTGCAGTGTCGATGAAGATTCTCAGTCTTCCAGGTCATGGTAATCGTAAGTGCTATATCGTAGGCAACTGGACTTGCTTGTGTTTCTTGAAAACCTTTAGCCTCTCATCCAAGAAGCTTCTTCAGTTCTAAATGACTGGTGCAAAGTTGCAGGCTATAAACCCTGTGTGTTTGGGAACCCTTGACCCCTAGGACTCTGCAAGGGTTCCCAAACACACAGGGTTTATAGCCTGCAACTTTGTACCAGTCATTTAGAACTGAAGAAGCTTCTTGGATGAGAGGCGAAACGTCTTAAAGAAGCGCAAGCAAGTCCAGTTGCCTACAATATAGCACTTACCTTTGCAGTGGCAGCTCCAAAACTTAAGAGCTTTCCACTTTCACTTTCTTGTGAACACAAAACGTTAAGAACTTCTTCAAATTTGGCACAAACATCCAATTGGGCTCAACAATGAAATTTTTAGATTTTGAAGGTCAAAGGACTAGGTCACTGTGACCCTGCGCCCATCTCATTCTTGTGAACACAATATCTCAAGAAGGTCTTTGAGGAAGTTTCCTCACATTTGGCACAAACGTCCATTTGGAATCAAGAATAAACTGATTAGAATTTGGTGGACAAAAGTCAAAGGTCATTGTGACCTCACAAAAAATGTGTTTTTTTTGCCATTACTCAAGACTACTAATAAGTATGACAAAATTTCACATAAATGTCTAATAGGATATAATGATGAAGTGATAACATTTTATATCCAAAAAGTCATCTTCACTGTGACATCATAATTTTCTGCAAAAACACTTGTCTGGCCATGATTCAATGTCATATCTCAGGAACAGAAGAGGAGACATTTGGTACGAAAGTGAACTGATTTGTATGAGGCATCCATGTTATCACAGACATGGATGTAAACTGTAAGTGCAACTTGACTGGTTCACAGGGGCATACAACGCAAGGCAATAATTCAATTTTTTTTTACTGAATATAAGGTGATACCACTTACGTCCTGTTATTGTTTTAGATTTGTGCACATATTATGGTATTGCCTTGTATCTTCCTTTTGCCATTTATTATTGTTATTGTACCTATTTAAACTACTATTCGTCTGCCATTCACATAAATTTGTACAGTACTTTGGTCAGTTGTTTTTTTAAATGTGCTAAATAAACTAGATTTTTATTTGGTCATCAGGTCAAAATATTAATTTATTTAATATTTTGGTCAGTGTTTAAATACCTGCAGAACTAATGGCAGCTGTACTTTGTGTTCATTGGCAATCAACAAATATTAGCATGCTAACATGCTCAATAAGATGGTGAACACAGTAAATATACCTGCTAAAAGTTGGTATGTTATAGCTGTTAGATAGCATTGTCACTGTGAGCAAGTTAACACGCTAATATTAGTATTTTGTTTACTGTGGAGCCTCAAAGAACCACTAGCAATGTAGACTCTTTAGTATTTTAAATTTAGTAATACATTTTTAACTTTACTTTTTTTTTTACCTCCTCACCTTTTTTCTTAGTCCTAGCACACATTAAATAATGTATGTCCCATTTTTTCTTGTGGTGAAATTTCTTATTTTTCTTCTTTCAGTTTAAGATTTTATGGTTACAGCCATCTTCTGGTAGTGAGAGGTAAGAGGATATAGATGTTTTGACAGCTTGACTGGATGCTTCCATAGATTTTCTTAGCAGGTTAAACCTGAGATAATATCCATGACGAATTTAGGCCAGCATGCTGTATATTATCTCCAGAGGTTGTTTCAGTTGTTTATAAAAGTGCATGGCTAAAACGCCCCTTGTAGACATCTAATGGGCTGTATTGAGACTTCTGGTATTTTGTCAACTCGATTTATTTATACACAGCAAAAACTGGAAAAATTCTCACAGTATAATCCAATCCAACACCACACTATCACAGTTACACAAAGGTGTAAGTACTGGGCTGTCAGACTGTCGTTTGACTGCACTGCAGTTTTCTGGTCACTCTGTGAATGGTACAAAAAGAACAAATGGATCCGAGAGGTTTCTGGTTTTAATTGCATCATCAGAGTTACAAGATTAAAAATAAACACATAATATTTTGCATGTTGCTTCATGACTGACAAACAAAATCTCAAAATGTATATGTTTCCATGAATATATAAATTGGAGACCCAACACCCTGTCCAGGTTTCTCATAGTCAGTACATATTACCAAGCCTATCCAGCTATCTGGAAAATATGACTAAATAAAACCTGAAACCTTCTCAAATGTATGAGGCATGGCTGAATGTAAAACTGTCAGTTCTGGATATGCAGGAAGGTTTCTCACATAACTCAGTAAACCTGAAGGGTATTGGTAAAAAAAAAAACAAAAAAACTGGACTTCTTGTTAGTTGAAGTTTATGCCACTCAGAGTAAATATGATCAGGTTCATACAAACCTGGTTTAAACAATCTCAATAGCTTCACATGTAGACTACAACAGACCTGAGATGTAAAACAGTTAAAATCAATGAAAGCCAGAGATGTTCCCAGCATCTACAGCTATATTTAAAATAATTTGCATTAGATTGTTTTAGCTCAAGTTTGACATTTCACATGTCATAGTGTAAATAATAAAATTATTAATTCAATTTAGCTGCTTCAGTTTCAGCCTGTTTTGGGTTACACCTGTGCTTTTGCTGCTATGTCAAGTAAAATAAATAAATAAGTAAATAAAAAAAGGCATATTGCAATTCAAGCAATTTAGCTCACTCTTACGAATGGGCAGGTGTAAAAAGAATTAAGTTGATTGTTTTTTTTCCATAGCTGGTGATACAAGTAGTGAAGGAGGGAGCCATTGCTTCCTTCTCATTTCTGTTGGGAGCTGAACATGTACAGCACTGATCTGGCACTTGTGATAAAATGGTGACGGGTAAAGACAAAGGTTTTGAGCTGAAGTGCAATCCAGCATTTCAGTTTGCTGCAAATCTGAGAGCAAGGCGGATAAAACAGGGTCATTTTTCAAACTGTAGGAGCAAGTAAAAACTGACTTTGCGGAAGTAGATCTCTAACCAGAAAAGTGAAGAAAAAAAACATTACCACTGAACCCTTACAGGTAAAAACATAAAGTGTATTTGTTTTTAAAACTATAAAATGTAGCTTAAGTGCTCTGTGAAGGCTCCAAGCATAACTGATATTGATACATTCTTACTTATAAACATACTGTAAAGACATTAAGCACTCATGTGGTGGATAAAATATTGTATTTCAATGTTGTTGGCAGAATCTATTTATAAGAGGTTACTTTTACAGCACCAGTTATCATTATAATATATACTGCCTCGTCAGTCAACCTGCTGTCTCAGGCAGGGCTTTTTCTGTAAACCTTGATCCCTGAATTTCAGTGTAGACATTGTTTTTGTACTTTATTATATTGTAGCTGGGCACAGATGCCTCTATTTCTTACCTCTGAATAAAAGACAAATCCTTAATTTAAACTGAAAGTCCAATCTTGTTTGAGGGGGTAATTACTGTTTCTAATGAAAAGATACAATTTACTGCAGACAAATCGACAAATTTCAAGGATTTGTACCTAAAATTAAAATAATTTTACGGACAACCTTGTACTTTAAAAATTAAAAATACTGTCTTCATATTTTAAAAAATTTAAACAAGAGGAGCAGCATTTGTCGTCTACAGTACACACTCAGTAAAAGTGCAATATTTCAGTTGCAACTGAAGTTGATCAAGTTTTGGACTCCATGGCTCAGGCTACAACTGCATACTGGCTTTCAGTTCCTCCAGGATGTCAATACCACTGCTCCAGATGATGACTTTAGCTCTTAGAAAAGCATTATCTTTCTGTTTCTCCAGTTTGGCCAGCAGTTTTTCCAGAGCGTACCCCCTCCTGGGCATCACAACATCATGCCCTCTCAGACAGGTTGAAGGACAGAGATCATTCCCACCATCCCCTGCGTAAAATATCCGCTCGTACTCCACGCCGCCATCCGCCTGCTCTGACAGGTACAGCTCCAGGACCTTTTTCTTACAGAGGTTTACAGGGCAACGCTTGCAATCGTGAGAGTGGTGGTGCAGCACCTCCATGTACCCAAGGTCACTGACCTTAGCCGGGTTGCTGAAAACCTGATCGACAGCTGCCTGGAATCCAGACACTTGGAGGATCCAGTCTATGAACATGGTGTTGGAGTCAGAGATGATAATGCAGTCGATGGTGCTTTTGTGCTCCGATATGAACGTCAGCAGGTCTGACATTCCAGGTGTGAAGGGGATGCTCTCCATCACACTGCGGACCCTGTCGGGGCTGACCTGCTGGTCTCCTGAATGGACAGATGGAAAAAAGAGGAGAAGTAGAAGCAGGAATAAAACCTTGATGTACAAATATTTGGAGCAGCTTTTGGGATGTGTAAATGAATGACTTGCCAAACAGGATAATGAATTCTTACCTATGTAGTTCATCACTCTGCCCATGAACTCAGTCCAGTGGCCTTTTCTGTAGGTATTCTTCACAGAGTCAGGAAGAGTCTGATCTGGAAGACATCTGGGAAGAGAGAGAACCAAAAAGATCCACAGTGGATTTAAGTCAAATATCATACATCATATTTCATACGTGGTCCTTTACTGTAAAATGATCCTATCAGTGTGGTATGTTGATCTAGTGGTATCAAACAGTCTTGTGGTAGGCTAGTATTCCTATAGACTTCTAAACATTTTGCACCAGTAAAACTATACCCTGTTTCAGTTTTGTAATGCACTGTAGTGATCAATGCATTGATTCAATCAGATTATTATTTACCTGACCACCCAGGTGTCACTGTTGTCGTCGACCACAGTGTGGTCAAAATCAAACACCATCAGAGTCTTCTTCATTTTTCACCTGGAAAAAAGACATCACTGTTTAAAATATAGAAAAAATACACAGCAAGACCTAGAGTAAGAAGACAGTTATTATTATGATGTAATATTCTTGCTAGATAAAATTGTATTACGCATGTTTGCTCAGTCTAGTCGGGATATCAGGGTTTGGATAGTACAAAACATTATCTACTTGTGGCTGCTCTGTCTGTTAGACTCAGACAGCTTATCTTTTATCAGCACGAACCGTGTCTGACCACAATAAACTGCACCGACCAGCTGCTGTATATCAATAAATAATCTTCTCTGTATGCCGATTGTACCACAACAACCCAATTAATCCTCACATGTATTAATTTATGTTCTTATAACTGTAAAGGCTAAGTTTTGACTCACAAAGTTTAAAATGGCTGATTTTTCTAAGAGGTCTTGTGTACCCACGTCTCCTTCCAAGTGAACAGGCTAGCAGCCAGGCTAATCCCTCCATTCAAATTCTGCTCCAACAGTTCAGATCAGGCTCAGCGGAGAATAACACAGATTACAGGGATTTCTGTACTAGACTACTCCCTGGGTTCATACATATAAAATACTCTATATTAGGTTAAATTATGATCATCGGTAAACTCACCTCAGCTCACTGACAGTCCACCGCTCTGTCTTCCTGCTCGTCCTGTTCTGTGAAGATGTGAATTAGTTCTGTGCTCATTACCGCCCCCTGCTGGTGAAGAGCTTCATTGGCGAGTCTTCTATAATAACTACTGTAACAATCACATCATTACAGCAACAGTCGGTCCTGTAACATTTGTGTATTTTGTGTTGATGTTTTGTATTTTTCTGATTTGTTTTATGTGTATGGATTTGGGATGCTTTTCTTCCTGTGTGCATGTACTTACTGATGCATTTTCTTTTCAACATTTTAATTAAAAAGACAGACAGGTGATGGTGTTGCAAATTATCGTTTCGCTGCAAACACTGATCGCATCTGATTCTTGTGCATAAATGTATTTTTCTAATGCTACTGTGTTCATATCAAATAAACTAAACTAGACTAAGGGACTGTTCTTTACCTATCAGAGAACAGAGGTAGCAGGGGTGTGACTTTGTTTTTTTTGTTGTTTTTTACTTTCCCTTAAGCTACAAATATTTCTCCTAGAGCCTCCTTGAGTAACTCGGGGGAAATGCATGGTCCTTCCTCCACCATAAATTTAGTTATTAGATTTTTAAAACATACCCTTTGATGTTACAAAATTAAAAGTAGAAGATGAAATCTTGGAGTTGAAAAAAGCCTCTGTTTTTCACTGCCGTGCATGCTGGCTAGTTCATGCAAACAGTTTATTTGTGATTTTAAATGAGACATAGAATAAAGTGACTTTGATGAACTATCACTATTTTAAACTCAGATGTGATTATGTTTTATTGTTGTTGTTTTGTTTGTTTTTGGTTTCTCACTGTAGAAATTGTGTAGCGATTTTTTTAATAAAGCATGCCCTCCAAATGGCCTAAGACGAAATAAAAAACACAAGTCCCTCCCCAGTGCTTAAAAATATTTGACATGCCTCCACCCTTTTGCACGCCCCCCCCCCACCCCCCCCCCCCCCACCCCTTTTATAGGTAACAAACTATCCCTAAGCTAAACTAACCTAACGTCCCACATAAACACATACATCGAAACATTATACTACTTAAAATATTACTATTTTCCCTAAATTCTTAAATTTTCTCATTTTTAGTGTATCCTATAGGGTTTGTAATTGCAAATTTTGTAATATTATTGCCAAAATGTGTCCTTTACACCTGCTGCAGTGTCAGGAGAGACCACACGGTGGCAGCAGCACACAACTTCAACTACACAAAAGCAAACAGAGAAGAAGAAAACCTGTCGGTGTAGTTCCTGGTTGTGTAAAGTGGAGAGCCAGCCTCTGTTCAGGTTGTTGTTTTTCTCATCGTTACTAAGCCAAACGGTTGTTTTATTTCGACCAATATGTTTAAAAGTTTCGGGTCGTGGTTGGGGTTTGAGAACCAGCCGTACACGAAGACGTCGGACGAGAAAGAAAACGTGAGTGTGGAGCAGGAAGAAAAGGTGGTGGAGGCACAAAACGAGGTAAACAAACAGCAGCCAGCTGATCAGGATGGAGAACCAGAGGTGAACCAAGAAAACTCTGAACACGGCAAAGGACTTGGAGGTGAGACCCAACTGCGTTTACTGTATTACTGCTGCATTTGGTGAATAGCTGTATTGAATCTCAAGCTAGGTCATTAGCTAAATTGCTTCGCAGAGGCTCGAGGAATTAGCTGCCATAGCCATCGTGCTATTAGTTATTTTTATTTTATTTTTTGAGTTTTGTTATTTGTTGTCCAGTGACAAGAGGATGTGTGACTGCAGGACGAGCTGCCATCTGATATGTCTAGTGTTGTTGTAGCAATGCTTATAGTAACAGTCTCACAATATAATGCTGGTGCCAACCATCTTTTCATCTTCCTCCCCCCTCTGAAGAATACATCTTCAGCTTTGCCTCCAGTGCCACCAAGAAGATCTCTGAGTCAGTGGTAGAGACAGCTCAGACCATCAAGAAGACTGTGGAAGAAGGGAAAATCGACGGCATCATAGATAAGGTGTGTTGCCATTGTTGCTCGTCTGACAAGTTCAGCAGCATTTAGAGGCCGACTTCTGGTTGATGTGTGAAACACTAGTCCTTTCCTCTGTTTAATGTGTATCTGTGTGTTTGTGTCACACTGTGCATTTGCAGACATTCCTAGGAGACTTCCAAAAGGAGCAAGAGAAGTTCGTCCAAGAGAAGAAGGCGAAAAAATCAGGTAAACAAGAATCTTCTTTATGATAAATAAACAAATACTTTCTAAATAATGTGTCTCAAACATGCAAAGAAAAATGATGAAGCAATTATTTTGACAGATAATGCAATGCAGCATGTATCAGGATATCAGTGGGAATTTTTGCGTTTAATTTTTTTGGAGAATTTGTTGGCTGATGCATCTGTATAACGCCCCAGTGCTTCATTTATAATGGTATGCTGTAGCACATTTTTCCTTTGACATATATTTATCACATATTCCTATATCAATCTGGATATTAAACTTGGCCATTTTGTGATTTTGGTAATATTTGGACAAATTGTTCAGTCCTACGACAAATGCATTTTTATTCTGTGAAAGACATGACAAACTAGCTTCCAATGAAGTTACATACCTTGCACATCGTGGTCTGTTTTTGGAAACACTACTGAGGATTTCTAGGCCTTGATGAGAAATTCAACAGTGGGAAAGTGACAGTAATATAGTAACTAAAAGTAAAGTGAACCCCGAAGTCACTTTTTCTCAAAAGGGTGAGGCCAAAGCTAAATCCAACAGAAACACACTGTACAGTAAGCAGAGTATTACTACAGCTTTATGGGCTTGATGAGGACTTGTAGTTTTCATAACTACTTAAAGTTTTTAACGAAATGTAATGAGTCACTCAAACTCAATTTGTGAAGCACCTTATATGCAGTTTAGTGGGGAGGTCACAATTTTAATTCTAAATAGAAAATTGATCGAAATGAGCTTTTGATTTAGAGTCAAAAATCAAAAACAGGATATGCAATTCTCTCAGTATTCCTGCCGACTTGTGCATGTACGAAGAAAAATACACTTCAAAGACTACACAGCATAGCTGTCTGGTAGTCTGCAGCTCCAGTTGTCGAGACACTTTGGCCATTTCTGGAGCCAGAGATGACAGAGAAACAACAGACCTGGAAAATCCTCCTGCTTCCCAATGAGTAGATACCACTGCAGCTGCAGCAGCTACATGACCCGCCCACCATACCTACACATCAGTCAGCAATCAGCCCCCTTTGCCCTCCTGGCCTAGAAGCAGAAGCCATGGCGAAAATGCTAAGTTAGTGATGAGCTAGCTATGAAGTATTATGTTATGAGAGAGGTGGTTAATGTTATGGAAGGGTTAATGGTAAGGATTACAACTCATTACTCATAAAATGAATCATCTTTTCATGCATTATGAATTACAAAGTCGGTCATTGCTATGTTTGGCCTCATATTTATTCACCACAGTGTCACATTGTAGCAGGGTTGGTGGGTTTGCCTTGTACTTGTGGTGAGCATTTTTATTGCAACGTGTTAGGTACGCTACAAGTAGTATGTGTCTGAAGCTATACAAATCTCCTTCCTGAAATCACAGGTGTGGTCATATTTTTCCCTCCCTATGAATTATGTAAACAAACATGTTGTTCACAAAAAAAAACTCAGATTGAAGGTGAGGTTATGCACAGGTACAAAACACCACCTCAATCAACAAGACAAATTTGGTAAGGCATATTCATAGGCATCATGAACAAATAGACTTGAGTGGGAAAAGAACATGAACACAGGCAACGCCCATCCTGGCACCACGATGATCTGGTGGCTTTGCAGGTGAACATACTCAAGCTGTTCTGAAATCTAGCTGCTCTTCTTTTTGTTTTGCATTTGTTTCCAGTTGACTGGTGAAAGAAGTTATTGTTATTACATTTTAAGTTAATTATTTAAATTTGATCATATTTTCTAAGTGTGGTACATTCCAAAAAAATTATCGGGGGTTATATCACACTTGATACCATGTATTCTATATTTTTAAAGAAGAAATCAAAAAATGTAAATGACAGTTGTCAGGGCAAAAAGCCAATAATCTGTCGATCTTAACAAATCAAGACTCCTCTAGCTGTCAGTGCTGAAAAATAATAATTGATTTGAACATTGAATCAAATCAAAAGTCAAATGGAATCATGGATTTGGAGAATGGGACATGTCATGAAGATCTTTAACTGAATCCTGAAGTGTACGAGAAGCCAATGTAAGTGAGCTAGAATGAGGGTGATACAGGCTACTGTCATTGTTTAGTGTTTGTTAAAAGCCTGGTTGCCACATTCTGAACCAAGTGGAATCAGGCAATTGCAGACTTGTTTAAACAAGAAAATAAGGAGTTACAGTAATCCAGGTAGGAAGAGATAAAGGCATGGAAGATTCCATCTACGATACCCTTTGGCAACACTGAACTGATTTGGGCAATATTTCTGAGATGCAAAATATAAAACTGGACCACTTTCTCAATGTGATGGTCAAAATTCAGGTTTTGATCAAACACAAATTTCTTGCAGATGGTTTTACATTTCCTACAAAATGACTGAGATATGGTCTAATACTCTTTGAAACAATGACCAAGATTTAAGTGACATCCACTCTTTGATACCAGTAAGGCAACAATGTAGAGTATCCAGATTTTTGAGATAGTCAGGCTTAAATTATACATTAAGTTGAGTGTCATCTGCAAAACAATTGTAAGCAACACTCTTAAACTAACAAATAAGAAGGGGGAGCATATACAAACTGAACAAGATGGGACCAAGGATTGAACCTTGTGGAACCCCACACAACACAGAGACAAAATCATCAGTAGTCAGCCTGATCTCTCTGTAAGGCACGTTATCAGTCACTCCTTATTTTGTCTGTATATAATAAATTGAGTTGTCTTAACATTGTAATGTATTAAAATAAAGGGTGATTTTACCTTTTTAAAATGTCAAAATGAATTCAAATTGCGATCTTGCAGGACTGCATTGATGGAAACTGTGTTAATCTTTATGTTTATGTTCTGTCAGTGAGAGCAGCAGACTCACATTATCAGCTTCTATTACCACACATCCAGGTGTGTGCATGGGTGTAACTGAGTGATAAGACTCGTGACTGAGTGATGAAATACCTCTCTGAAGCCTACTTGTGTCTAATGGTGTTGTGTACTTTGTGTCACAGCTCAACTGAATGTGTGTGTGTGTTTGCTGATGTTTGTGTCTAGAAGCGGCAGTGCCTCCCTGGGTCGGTTACAATGAGGAGGAGACAATCCAGCAGCAGATCCTTGCTCTGTCAGCTGTAAGCAAATACACTACATAAATGTGTTGACATGTCTGTCTCTTTATCTCTGAATTATTTAGCCCCTTTTGTACAAACTGAGCTCTTTGGCTGCTGATTCCAGGACAAGAGGAATTTCTTGCGAGACCCTCCCGCTGGTGTTCAGTTTAACTTCGACATGGAGCAGATGTATCCTCTAGCTGCAGTGATGCTGGAGGAAGACCAGCTCCTCAACCGCATGCGCTTTGACCTGGTTCCTAAACAGTCAGTAGTCTTTTGTATTTTACTTGATGTCCCTGTTTCTGCCAGGATGTTAACAGGACACAATTACCTGTGGAATCAACATTCAAGTGATGTTATAAAATGGATGTATGATGTGTTTGACAGGGTGAAGGAGGAGGTTTTCTGGAGGAATTATTTCTACCGGGTGTCTCTGATCAAGCAGTCCGCTCAGCTCACAGCACTGGCAGCCCAGCAGCAGCAGAAGGAGGGTGAGGACAGAGGGGCCAATGTTTCACCTGAGGACGTCGTCTTAACAGGTCAGATTTTCATCCAAGGGACCATGTCACCTGCTTTTCACATCAACAGGGGCCACTGCCAGAGCTGCTTCTGCTTCTTATAGAACTATCCTGTGTACTTCGCAAGCCTCTCCCAGCTCACTCTATACTCAGAATAGGAATGTTCGAAAGTTAAACTGAACTTCAAACTTGTCAACTGGTCTTAATAAGGTAAGAAAACAGTCCAAACTGAGCACATGGTTAAATATTCAGAAACAAATACATATCAACAACAAAAATCATATTTTAAATCATATTCTAGATGCTACATTGCCCATTGACTTACAAACTATGACTCATCTAATAAAAGTTAAGAAATAATTGATGAAAAAATTACTTATCTCTGCTCAAAATACACACATTCATGTGGTAACCTCCATGTATGAGTGTGCGTGCAAATCAACACACCCATACGCATATATGCCCAGGTTTCTCAGGATCTCCCATGCGCCCAGCTAATGACAAGCCAAAGCACCTCCAATGTTCTGCCTAGTATGAAGGCCTTTAGCTGGTGCAAGTTTGTGAGGGCTCGGACATACTTTCTGCTGACCCCTGCAGACAAAGGCCAACGAGGGCCAACGGGGTGGGACACACCGCAAATACCAGGGCGACATACACACACCAGTGTCACAATGACGGAAGGCTGACCGTCAGCTGTGTGAGTGCCTTTAGACGAGATAAAGGTGGTCAGTGATTGAGCGCCAATTTCAGAACAGACTAAACAAAGCACTTCACAATTGAGGACAAAATGAAAGGAAGATTTAAACAGGGTAAAAAGATGATGTGTTTTCAATAAAAGAATAAGTCAATCACACACAAATCAATCAGTTCATCATCAGTGAAATGTGTTTTATTCTTATTTCCTCTCTTGCCTTATTTACCCTAGACTTGCTCTAGAAAAAAACATGTATGCATGGTTTTAGTGCGTACATGTCATTTAAGAATCTGGCCCCAGGTGTATTCTCTTTCCACTCCTTAGTTACATAACTTGGGCATGCATTTATAAAGACTAAGACGGTAAGAGAGAATAATCTTTTTTGTCACCTTATGTGTCTATGATTTGTGAATAAGCTAATACACCACATACACTGTTTGATTTATCATCAGGAACAGCTCATTGATATCTGCCTTGGGTTCTATTGGGAAAGTTTCTTGTCCTCTTGCGAAAGCAGTTTGAGATCTGATCGGAGGTCTGGAGGCAAAAGACCTTACAGTTGAAGTTGTGGTATGACTGTGCTCTGTAGATGGAGGTCATGGTGTAGGATCAGAGGCCAATAATGCTAAAAATGATGTTAGGAGGGTTGAAGTCTTCAGTTCAGTGTGTCATCGCTGTGCATGACACACCTACTACCCTTAACCACAGACAGGGCTGTGATTTTAGAGGAAAACCACGAGTTTAGCAAGCATCACAATTTGTTTTGCATATGGAAAACTAATAGCACTGTGTTCTTTTTCGTAGACAATGTCAGACCAAAAACTCCACCAGTTTCCATCAGTGACATACAGGAGGTAAGAGCACTAAAATAAAGATGGGTGTGTATGCATAGCTTAATATTTTAACAATCATTCTGAAACTTGGGAGAGAATTGCAGTCAGTTTCTTTTTCTGTCCTGTCTGTGTGACTTTTAGCCACCTCACGAGGAAGAGGAGGAGATGTCAACGAGTCCCGGAGTGTCCGAGTTTGTGAGTGACGCTTTCGACCCAACCGCCATCAACCACGAGGACCTGAGGAAAGAGATGGAGCAGCTGGTGCTGGATAAGAAGGAGAGCGTCCCCTCTCCTGATGGTTAGCTTTATGACAGTTTTTACTGATTCTTCAGCTAAGTGTTTTCTCCTAGTTGCTCACATCCCAAGTATTTACTGTACTTATTCAACCAATTTAGATGTTAGTAGACAACATTCGGTGATTGCATCAAGTAAAATTGTGGAGTAAGTAACTGTCTTGCTCATAATCTTCCTGTGACATTCAGATGAGTCAGCAGACTGGGAAAAGGAGCTGCAGCAGGAGCTTCAGGAGTACGAGGTGGTCTCTGAGTCCGACAACAAAGATGACCAATGGGATCAAGAGATCGAGAAGATGCTCCAGGCTGCCGACAGCTAGACAACCACAGCGTGTCCGTCTCCTGTTCGGTGATGTGGCCCAGAATGGAGAAACAGTGACCAGTGATGCACAAGGGGATGAACTTCCACAGTCTCCGCCCACCCAACTGTGATTACTATCTTGTAAACATTCCCCTGTTCCTAATGAAGGTGTAGGTCCAATTAAAGCAAGAGTGTGACACCTCTGCTGTCATCACTGGGTATGTTCAGGTGTATTAGTAAAGCACTACTTCATTGCTCCTTTCTAAAGTACTCTTATCTACTTGTTCTCCCTTATGCTGTCTCTTTTTGACAAGGAAAAGCCACCAGAGGGCGCTCCAGTACAACTGCAGTGAATTTTACAACAAAGGGGCCTGTTTGAAATGACATGAAATTTAATCTGTGTTTCCACTGCTGCTTTTTGGTGGGTTGTACAATAAAGTCTTAGTATAGTAAAAGTAAGGTAAAGTTAAATGTAAAGTAACATTTATGTAAATAAAGATAATTCTAACACTATACTTCAAATTGCATTTCCTTTTCATTACATCTGTTTCTCATTTTACATTTTGCTTTTTGACAAACTCCTATGTGCAGGTCTGCTTCGCTTTGTTTCTCTACAGCTGAAATACTGGGTCAGTTTTAACCCAATCTGGGTCCGTCATGATACCCAAACTAGCAGTGGTCAACCCAGTGCTGGGCAGGCTTTACCCAGTACCCATGGGTATAAAAACCACTGGGTCACCAATCACACCCAAAACAATGGTTTGTTTTGACCCAGGGTTGCTATTTTTACTCTGTGTAAGGTTGTTTTTACCAGCCAGGACAACATCGCGAAGATTGGTGTTGTTTTGTTTTCACCTTTTGCGTGTTTGTTTGTGTGTTTGGCATCATGGCAAAATGTGGTCCCGGTGACACCCATTGTTGCGCAAGCTACCACAGAAGCTGTTTTGAGCACTTTTCCAAGTGTTTAGATGTCTGTCTGTCACTGGACAGATTTTGTCAACACAATAGTGCAGCAACAGTGCAAGATGCAGTCACAAAACTTCACAGATTTATAGTTTAGATCACAATGAAGACACAATGATTTGTTTTAGGTTGTGGATCACTATATTATGGTTGAAATGATTCTGCTGCAGTGGTCTCTAGCTGACCTTTATATTGTGTCATCAATTAAACCAAAAAAGAGTCATTTTTTGACCCATGTGTAGTGTTATTTTATCAATTCCATTGGGAAATGAAAAAATAAAATCTCCATCTTTATATTTTTGCTTCTTTTTTCAGGGGTTGTTATTTGTACCCATTATATATATATATATTATTAGGTCATCAATTAACAAAAAAATGTATATTTTCATAAACACTTTTGGTGTTCTGTTAAGACAAACAAGCTTATTACAAGTCAACGTTAAAATTGCCACCAATATACTACATGGCATTCAAAACTGCAAAGGACAACTTGTTACAGCATGTTAAAAAACAGTCATAACATTCAGTATGAAGACATAATAATTCTTCACCCTCAGCAATTCAGCCAAACTTTGATTATTTCCAAAACATGTATGTGTAATGCATCTAAAACTTTGCCTTCTATCATGCTTGGCTGATTAAATGTTCAAGAGGCTCTAGAATTTAACTGTGCATAACTTGTCCCTCTGTGCATTTTCTACTCATTGATGAGTTGTTCCCTACACATTTCAAGCTGATACAGTAAGATCATTCTGAGTGTTGGGGTTGTCCTCAAGAGGCTTCCTGAACTCTATCAAACATCTCGAGTCTTTAGAAGCAAATCTTCCAAGCTCATTTTCTGGAAATCCAAATCATGTACTTATGTACAGTACTTGAGTATGTGTACTTAGTTACATTATAAATAAATGTATATATGAATAAATACATCTGTATACATGAATGAATCAAATAGAATCTATGTGCAAAAGTGAACAAACAGATCTTTTTGAACAACTCTTTAAAGTGTCAGGTAGGTTCTGGGTTAGCCTGTCAAACGTCCGAGTGCTCATGAATCCCCGACTTTTCCCATTCGCCCACTCACTGTCATTGCAGGGTACTGCTCAGCTGCCTGCTATGGTAGGTGAATAGGAAACGATTGAATCAGACTCAAGTCGAGACCTCCACAAGCCAATGGTGCATACATGTGCTCCTCTGATGGTTGTTCAACTTTGTATTCATGAGCTTTGAGTTGTAATGTAGAAAGACAGATGCTACAAAGAAGGTGTGTTGTTTTTTATTGATCAGAGCGTTTAAACAAAGCGTTGATCACAAAGAGTAAAAGACACTTATCAGGTCAACCATAGAATATGATCTGGAACGACAGATCGTTGTTCAGTGACATTTCTGTAGCATCATATTGAGCTCACATAGCCCACCTACAGACAAGTGGGATGCCGAATAAATGCATTAAAATTAATATGAATGTTAACTTATAAACAATGACTGGTAATGCATTGAAGAGAAGTTTTGTGGCGTGGGCTGCACTAGCTGTCAGAGAGACTGACATCATATTTACATTTGTATCAACTCAAAGGAACCGATACTGTGAAAAGAATCAGTCCACCTACCACTAGCATAATCCCCATCTCTATCCCACTTTATTTCCTGTCAGCTCTCTGACCAGCTGCCATGGAGATAGTAAAAGTTCTTCTTCCTTTCAGGTCATGGCAGTCTCTTTAGCTTCAGTACTGTTGCCTTAACTTAAGATTGGAAAGAAGCACTGTATGCCCTTTCAAGTGGATGACCATTCAAGACAGGGTTGTATTCTGTGTGACCTGAACACTGAATATGGTTCTCCATAGACAATACTATTCTAGTTGTCAGCAAGGTGGAGCTGAGGGCACAGTGCAGAGGGGGGCGAGAAGGAAGCCAGGCAAGAGAGTGAGTCAGTAAGCGTGGAATGATGGAAAGGAGGCCTGGATGTTTTGGTAGTAGAAAGTCTGTAATCAACAAACACATAGCTGCGTTTGTGCCAACCAGACTGCCAGACGAGTCTCTGCATGCTCCATACGTTTCTTTGTAGGAGTGGTAGAGACAGATGGTACGCTGTCTGGAGTGTCAACACGACTACTGCCACCACAATTAGATACTCAAATGAATTGGAGAATAAATACTCATTTGCAACTGGCAATCAATACAAGGATCAATATGCTAATGTCTGCTGTGCTTTCTCTCTTCGTCTTAGCTTTCAGGTGTGTGTCCAGGCATATAATGTGGAAAACAGACAGCTCAATGAATAATACCTCATGCAGCACGGCGTGTTCTCTCTTTGTTGTGTGTCTCTTTCTCATATACACGTCACCTCTATCCCAGCATGACAGTCAGGGTCTACCAGCTGGTATCAGGCAGGACACACAGTTGTCACCATGGTGACAAAGCCCAGCAAATGAGGACCCATGTGTGTGGTTTATTGCTTGTGTGTGCTGTTGATTTAACAATCTTTTAATAATGCATAAAGGCAGGCCGGTGGGTATGTGCTTCTGTGTGTGTGTGTGTGTGTGTGTGTGTGTGTGTGTGTGTGTGTGCCCGATATAGCCTTCAGGTTTCTTGTCTGTATACCAGACAAAGAGACTAAAGAGAATAAACGGAGATGAAAGACAATTGTGTTGATAAAAACACATCACTAAGCGGGTTTCATGTGTGCCATGTGATGTGCTATGAGGCACAAATCCTCCTTAACTACCCAACCAGTTGTTTTCAAATTTAGTATTTGACAACAATGGTCTATACAGCACTCTTTATAGCCTGTCAGGATACAAAAGAGAAGGAATGTTCTTAAAACTGGGGAGTTATAAAGAAAAGCAAGGATGTAAAGGACAGAACATAGAGTGGGGGGGATACAAGGTGCTAGACTGAGAGGAATGAGGGCTAAAACAAAGGGTAGAGAGGACAAGGAAGGAGGTAAGGCAGCAGAAAAGGAGCTGAATTGCTCAGACCACCTCCCTCTCACACCACAACCTCATTTAAAATCTTTTGTTACCAATAGCCCCGCAAGCTGTGCAGAGAGGAATTTCAGCACCCTTTGTTATATTTTTCATAATACCAGGTGAAAAACTGTACTCCTATTATAGATAGAGAACAATTACATGTAAAAAGAGATGTCAGAAATAATGTAAATGTACGGAAGTTGTATAATTCCCAGATGGAACTACTGTAAACTATAGGGTTACTGTTCAGGGTAACATTTGCTTTTCTGCTAGTTAGAGAAAAGAAAAGTGTGCACCAAACCATGGACAAACATAATGACTATGGAAGACCTAACAAAGCATAAAATAATATACAGAACAAAAGACGTGACTGAAGATTGTAAAAAGGGATGGGGGTACAGTCAGTGTTACAGTGCATAAGCTGGTTTGAATAAATGGGTTTCGAGAAGGGATTTGAAGAATGTTAGAAGGGGGCAGAGAGTGGGAGGGGGTGTACTGCTGGAGAGGGTCAGTCTGGGGTGGGGGCTAGCTATTGGAGGGCTTCGAAGGTGAGCAAAAGGTTTTTGTCGTCAATTCGATACTGAATGGGGAAGTTGGATGAGAATGAGGGTGATGTGGTTGGATGATTAGGTGCGGGTAATGGTCTGGGCATCAGAGTTTTGAATTGTATTGACATCTGTATGCCTACCTTTGAAATTTAAGCACTACTAAATACTTAATGTTGACATTTACATGTATGGCATTTAAATGTTTTACTTTGAAAATAATCTATCTGAATTCACAAAGTTTGAATCCCCTGTCAGGGTGAGGGTTTCAATAAGGGATTATGATTTCAATTTTTTATTTATTTATTTTTTTTGGACTGCACCTATCTTCAAAATCAGCCGTCACCTGTGAATTTTTGTGAGCCAGGAGCATAAAGTGAGGGGCCAATGGCCCCTTTCCTGCTTTCCATCTCCGTACCTCTCTCCCCTTGCTCGGGCCACGCTCATCTTCAAACTTGGCATTCCTTTTGATCTCTACTACCCACCGGTGAAATTTTGTGACTCTTTGGCCTAGTCTGCATGAGCACGGGTATTTTTAAAACCGAACTTTTTTAGCCTCCAGTTTTTAAAAAATCTGTGTCCATATGAGCTGTGTAATAAAAATACCTCTGTCCACATGACACCGCAAATTCCACTATCAAGCAATGTAATACACATGCCAAAGCAGTAGGTGGCGATATAACTCCTAACTGTAAGCCCATTGTAGCCAATCAGAAGGCAGTAAAACGTCATTACCGGAAAAACAACAACAAGCGTACTATTATGCAGCAGGAGCAGTCTCCATAATAGCACACTCCTGCGCCTCTGTTGCTGGATGTGGTTGAGTAGCGTTAGTTGTATGATACAGCCACAAAGTGCTGATATGCTGCCAAATAGCAGCAGTATTTCGTTTAGGTCCATCCTCAAATCGTCTCTCGCACACACTGGATAGGGTAATAACACAGCTGTTTTCTGTTTACGTCGCACACTGTGACATCATACATTGGAGACGAGACAAAATAACTGCGGTTATCCTGTCCACACATGACTGCTGACACCAGACTTTCCC